AACAAGTCTGGTGCAAAATACTGGCCTCTAAGTGCCAAAAAGAAAGAAGAAACTACCGCAACATTTTATAAAGACAAATACAAACACCTCCTAGGGACTGAGAGTGGGAAAGCAGCGGCTAAAGCTACTAAAAGTAACATGTCTTATGGAGTAGGTGAGTATGACTGAATGAATGAATGAGATGAATGGATAAATAAATAAGACGACATTGCAACGTTAATGTAACATCATTATCAAGACTTGGTAATTATAACGTCAAAACATGGTCTATTATTAAAATGATTTTAAAACATAGTTTTATTGCATACAACTTTTTAATGAAGTGTTTTCATAAGTCGTTAGTTATAGATAAATGAATAAAGTGATGAATTAACAGATATAAACAAGAATGGCATTGATGAAACCAATGTTGATATTTATCATTCAATACAGTTCCAAGTGAAAACAAAAGAGATTTACGRTCCATTGAGGAAACCCTTAATGACATCAGAAAAAGAAAGAAAGCCAAAGTATCCAGCAGTGATGTTGATGATGAACCTTAACACCATCATGACCAGACAGTCCAGGTAATTCCAGGATTATTTTTAGTTAACACTTACCACCTCACCAGTAAAGATAAAATGATGGAAATTAGATTTTACTTCAACTCAGTGAGGCAAATTAATATTCGAAATTCATTTGGAATGAACAATTACAGAATTTCACCAGTAAAAGTGGAAGACATTACTTCACCTCAGAAAGTGATTCAGGATTATTTTCAGCAAAGAGACTTTTATCAGTAGCAAATACTCATTGAATATTGGTTATGCCTGGTAAAAGTAAAGTCCAGGAATCACACTTGGTATACATGAACTACTTATTGGACAAGGGTGTGGATATATTGGAATTAGTCAAAGTGCACTACAGTAATAATTGGCTATACCAAACTGAACAACACTAATGGTGTACATGAACTAATAATTGATATGTACTGGATAGTAAGTGATGGTAGTTGATGCAAACAACACGAATGTACTGCATTAAATATTGACTATACTTGATGGAGTCATGAAATAGTGATGGACGTTAGTGTGCTACAGTAATGAAGGCTATACCTCATACAACTCAGGATGTTCAGTGCAAGTGCATGTTGTGTACAAACAATGTGTTGTTTTTTAGTTTCAAAGTTTGTTAGAAAATTACCTTTTTCCGAAATCCACTTCTATTTTCGGTTGAATAAAAATAACATTCAAAAGTCAAGTTTTCCACGATTTATAAGAACGTGGTTGTAGGAACTAAACTCTTACGTCATTAAACAAAACTGATGAGTCACGTGATATAAGGGGCAGGAAAATACTCCTCGCTTATTGGACAGCACTTTTTTATTCAAGATTACAGCTGTTAGATATGATCCTCTGAAAAGTTTTTATGATAAAGATATCTTTAAGATGAGACCGTTTTGTTGTTCGATATTCCAAGCCACAAGTTCTCCTTAATTAGCTATGCAGTGTTTGCTTTGAGTCTGAAAGAAGTTTAAACACATATGTATCATGACTGCAAGAAAACTAGGCCGAAACGGGGATAACGCGCGCTTATCTGTAGCTTATCTTAGTAAACATTCGTAATTTTGGCCCCTTAGGAATGGAAAATATAGATAGTATTATTGAACACGATCAGGGATATAAAAGCCTACATATAGGATTTTCGACGGCAAAAATCTGAATCCTGTGGTTTCGTCTTAGAAAAGTAATAAACTTTATATGTATTAGAGTCGATTGTAAGATTTTACATGAGTAGGAAACAGGGACGACCATTCAATTACTGCACCGTAACCGTATCGGAAACCTATCATTATCGTAAACTTATCGTAACAGGATCGGATACCTATCGTAACCGTATCGCGGAAACCTATCGTAACCATATCGTATCGTAACTGACCGTATAGCAACCGTATCGTAACCGTATTGCGGAAACCTATCGTAACCGTATTGCGGAACCTATCGTAACCGTATCGCGAAAACCTATCGTAACCATATCGCGGTAACCTATCGTAACCGTATCGTAACTGACCGTATTGCGGAAACCTATCGTAACCGTATTGCATGAATACTGATTTAGATATAACTTTGGAATTCTGAAAGTTTTAACGTAATGGGTAATCTTTTATACAAAGTTAGTTTATTATAAACGGTAAATATATATATAGTCAATCCCATTAACGGTTTTCACTTGTAAAAACATAAGAACAACAAAAAAGTCATCTGCATAAATAGGTTTTTAAAATTCCCAGGGAGAATTTTTTTCCTAAATTTTAGTTAAATAGCAAATGAAATGGTTATTGACTTTTGTTGATTTTATGTTGAATATTCTCGCAAAGAAATCTAGTTGAAAGTATAATATATGCAAATGACTTTGTTGTTTTCTTTATGATCAGTTTAGTTGAATAGCACTAAACAAAAAAATATCAGTATAACCGTTTTGATTTTGAATTTTCTATTATCATTTTGTCATTTTAGGTGAAGAGTTTGTAGTGTGTAGTATGAAACTAGCTATAGTAATAAATATACATGTAATCAGATCTTTTGTTAATCTTTTTCAGTTATTTGATGGAATTCTGACTGCTAATCTAACTGATGCTTAAAGCTCATCCTTTTGAAAGGACTAAAGTAAATAATTCAAACCAGACACCTTAATAATTTGACTTAGCTTATCTGTAGCTTATCTTAGTAAACATTCGAAATTCT